AGGCTCCTCAAGGAAGTAAAGGAGCAAAAACTGTTAGATGTATGGGAGAATATTTTCATTTACAAAAAGCGGAACAACAATTTCAATTTTGACGAGTCGGGCGCCACGAATGTGTTGTTCAAATTTATCGACGACAAACATGACAACCCGGCAAATTGGCGGAATGAGCTGCGAGGTAAACAAACACCTTCAGTCGCGGCTGAGGATGGGAGCTAAGCTCCCGAAACGCGTCCCGGTTATTATTTTATACAATTTTACGCAAGTGAGTGTGTTTTATCTTTGTGTTTTTAAATAATTTTTTAAAGAATCTCCTAAGTTTAACTATGCTCCTTAATTTTGCACATACTCTTGACACATTTCTTACTTCTGCAATGATCAGTGGCTGTCTGATGGACCATGGTAGGTCTTATCAAAGACTGTGGCAGATGCTGCAGAGCGCCGATGGTCCCACCCAGTTGGACCGTGTTGTGTCAATCTCCACTGAGAGGTAGCGCTGACAGTCGTGCTCGAACAAGGGATCAACAAATTTTTCACAACCTACTTGAACAATGCAGACAGATCAACGCTGCCTGTATCTACTTAGCTCTTCTCCATGCACCAATCAGAGGCTTGTAAGAGGCTCATTGACGGTTTCTTTTTATAGATGGTATGCCCATTAATTTGCAAAGATAGCTTGTGTATTTGGGACTAATCATTGATCTAATCATGAGATTTTTAAGGAATTTGGTGGGGAATGGATTGAGATAGTAGAGAATTGGTGCCAGTTTGAAACCCAGCTAGTACATGGAGAAGAGCCTTTAGCATCGGGTAATTATGTTTAGCGACAGTTCCAAATAGTGTTCTTTGACAACATGCCATGTACAGCTTTATTTGTTGATTTGTGCACATTTCTTTTACAAATGAGTCAAATTTTATAACAAGAAACAAGAATTATGTTAACAACAAGAATAATTTCAACTTGTCCTGCATATGAAGTCGTTTATGGAATAGGGACATAGCTCAAGTAGATGTCGTCTGACCAGGGCGTTGTGGTTTCGAGGCTCCTCTTTAATTTTTTTCTTAATGTTGAGTGGTAGATTTCAGAAACATTTATGGCCTCAAGCCGATGTTCTATTAATTTTATGATCAATCATTGGTATCCAATGTAATTCATTCATGATTATTATGAATTATGAGTGAATCAAATACTTCCTCGATTGATTTAACACTTCGATCAATTAATACTACCAAGAAGTGGTGTTTACTCTTTGTAAACCAGGAGGAGTGCCTCGTTACTTTTTAAAGAGAGCATGTATTTTAGGGGTGTCAGCGTCGTTAAATGTGCTAAATCCTGCTAATTATCATACCCACTTATATTTTCTATGTATGTAATCCCTATCTAAGTGATGTATATAAAAAACTAAATATTGTAATCTGTCCTAGCATCAACTGTCAATCATTTGTCTCATCATATTTAATCGAAGATGCCTCATAGTGTCAACAAGTCTACTCTGAATGCATTCATCACATGTCATGATGAGAATTACGTCAAAGATCAGTCCTTTGAACAAACACTATGGTACTTAAAATATCCAATCGCAGAGAGATAGGTGATGCAGCCACCTTAATGTGGGCACCGAGCAAGAAAGTCTGATACAGTCCCTGCACCATACTGCCTTGTCATGTGCGGGTGAAGCCTCCCATATGCCATTGCAAAAGGCTGCGTATAAGTTTTTTTCTGTCGTGTATTAAGCAGTTAATTTGTCCTTTTTGACTGATCATCATATTGGTTTTGTTCTTTTTTTTTCCTTTTATTGTTGCCTTCGTTTTTGCACATACAGTCTGCACATTTCTCATCTGATAAATATTTGTTTCAGGTTTAATTCGCGCGCAAGAAGTGACAGCCGTGATAGACGAGGAGGTGGAAGAGGCGGAATGGGCAGGGGCGGAGGAGGCCGCGGAGGTGGAGACAGAGGTAGAGGTGGTCGAGGATCAAGTTCAGACCGCAGAGGAGGAGGTGGCGGCGGATTTCGAGGAGGTAGTAGAGGTGGGCTTACACCTGTCTTTTACTCTTAATTTTTCCCCAGTTATGTACATAGGCTGTCCCAAAACAACTGGCACAAAGGCTGTCATTCGAGAACTACAATAGATATTGACATGCGGTTTGCGGGAGGTGATAGCTCATACTCTTAGCTCTTAAACGAGCCTAAGTTGAGCTAGTTTGGTTAAAAACTCAACGAGTTACATAAATTTTCCCGAGACGTGTAAGAAAAACCCCTACGGATTTTTCGGTAATTTTTCATTCCATAACTTTGCCTCCGCAAGCTTTGCAAGTGGTTAAGACGTTATGAATCAAGTTTCCACTTGTCTGGATGCAAGTTTGAACTTTCCAGCAAGTGTTTCCATCACAGCCGAGAAGTTTTTTTCTGTTTGCAAAGTCCATTTAGTGAAATTGTCCGGCCTGATAACGCGTTTTTTTGCGTTTCGTCATGAGTTCACGCGCGCAGTTGAAGCAAGAGCAACGATACGCAATTCGATATTGCGTTCGTCGTGAACCATCTGCCTCTGAAACTGTGAATGAAATGACAGTGGCTCAGAAGTGTTTCGACGAATTCGAAGTGAAAACGACGAACGCAATATCGAATTGCGTATCGTTGCTCTTGCTTCAACTGCGCGCGTGAACTCATGACGAAACGCAAAAAAACGCGTTATCAGGCCGGACAATTTCACTAAATGGACTTTGCAAACAGAAAAAAACTTCTCGGCTGTGATGAAAACACTTGCTGACCAGTTCAAAGTTGCATCCAGACAAGTGGGAGCTTGATTCATAACGTCTGAACCAATTGCACAGCTTGCGGAGGCAAAGTTAACGGAATGAAAAATTACCGAAAAATCCGTAGGGGTATTTCTTACATGTCTCGGGAAAATTGATGTAACTCTTTGAGTTTTTAACCAAACTAGCTCAACTTAGGCTCGTTTAAGAGCTAAGAGTATGAGCTATCACCTCCCGCAATCCGCATGTCAATATCTATTGTAGTTCTCGAATGACAGCCTTTGTGCCAGTTGTTTTGGGACAGCCTATGTAATATAAGGCTTAAATGCACAAGCAACGAACATGCTGTGTGCGGTTCAAACCCAAACCGCATTTGAACGCCTGCTGGCCACCCTAATTTTTTTTGCACTTTCGCGTGACCTTTTCTCCTTGTTGCCGTTATCAATAAAAGTTAGGAAAAAAAAGTAAGCTTAGTTCATACCATACTTTCGAATGATGCAATAAGAAAAAGGAGTCAACTGGCACATTAACAGCATAGTTTTTACCTTAATGTAACGTTGTCTCAAAGTGCACAGCATATTGCTGACAATAGCGAAAGAGATGGTAGAGCCATGCAGAATACCCTCAATTTGATCAGTTTGAGGCTTATGTAAGTCTGAGTGAGAGGGCATCTCTTTTTTCTTCGAAGGACCAAGTCTGTGTAGAATACCATGAAATTCGGTGGCAGCTAAATCTCAATTTTATTTGACAAGAACAAGATGTTCTTTACGACATCCCAAGTATGATGAGCGTTCAAGTTCAAACTTCTCATGTGCCAATGTCCATAAAATGACAGTGGCGTCATTGTGGGGAGGGGGGGGGGATTGCCCCCTCCCTATGTTTCTGGAGGCCTGTCAAATATGAGGTAAAAAGATAACAGTAATAAATCAGGGGAAAGAACCAAGCTACGTTTTTTATAGTTTGTCCTCATCATACCATTAATATCTGTATGTAAGTACTCTATCATTTAAACAAGCAACAAGAACAAAAAAAATGCCTGCCGTCCCCCCCCCCAGGTTTTAGTGAACTGACACCACTGAAAAGTGAAGGTTGTCAGCAGTGTTCAAAACTCACTTTTGAGTTTTAGGAGCCAAATGGTGCATCAAGTCCAATTTTTAGGCGCCATTGAAGATTTTTTAGCGGTCAAATTGACTTTTTGCTCATACAGGGTGTACCAAAAGTCCGTCCCACCCCTGCTAACCTCGAGTTTAAGGTGATTAAATTTGACCGTTTAAATTTCGTTTTTTTTTTAACTTTTCCCGAAATTTGGGGACTTGCCAACGTATTGTTGAACTAATTTTGACCTTACTGAGATAATGTGGAGGCAAACCTAGGGGAAATTGCCTTTTTTCGCGGGAAAATTGAATGACCTTTGAATTGACGTATTTGGGGGTCCGAGCTCCCCCTTAAAATTACAGCGAAGTGATTTCTGCAATTTTTACTTAAAAGCGGACACAATTTGGTAGATTTTCCCGTTTTATTTTTTTCTTTATGATAATTTGAACCGGAGTTATGATTTTTGGAAAATAGGTCAAATTTGACCTTTGACATATTATAACTCAGTCAAAAATTATGATATTGATCTGCGGTTTGCGCCAAAATTCTTAGTTTTTTATGCTCTTTCGAATGATGTATCACAAGATAGGGGTTGCCATTTGAAAAAAAAAAGTTGGGGGGCCCCCCGCGCCCCCCCCTGAGGGGGGACCAAAATTTTGACCCCCCCAAAAGATGGTCCCCTTTGAGATAGGAACATTCCCAAAGTTTCATTACCCTAGCTCAATTCGTTTAAAAGTTAGCAGGGGTGGGACGGACTTTTGGTACACCCTGTATAATACTGTGCATGCAGTGAAAAGTTAGATGCAAGATGTTTTCGTAACAGAACTAGTAAGTAGCTATAACTGGGGGAAGACAAAAGCGCAAAGGATGAAATCGTGAAGAATAGAAAAAGCTTTCACTTGTAGTGTTAAAAATTTTGAATAATCACCTGATATGGAAATTCAGATTTTTAGGGCCCAAATATTTAGGGGCCAAGTTGGCGCAGAGCCTTCATATTTTAGGCGCCTTGGCCGATTTTATCGGCACGTTGGCGCCTATGAGTTTCGAACCCTGGTTGTCGGTGAGAGTGAAGGTCTTTCTACGCATGTTTTCTAACGAAGCTGTAGGACCATTGCTATGTGTACCGGGGAACATGAGTAGAATGCAATAAAATTGGAATTTGAATCTCTTGTTTACGACTGAATGAACATTTCTTAGGACAATCTGAATTATACAGAGTGTAACGACAAACTACTGTTTATAAGAGCAGCTTTAACAGCGGTCCCTCGTGCCCCTCGACGCCTAACCGCCATAGTGCCTTGTCCTCCCACAGGTCCTCAGTAATTTGGAGCGCCCTTGTTCCTTTTTAAGCCCCTTATTGCCCTTTCCTGGGCGTCTTCTTCACTTTGGTATTGTTACTTTTTTCTATTTAACTCTATTTTCTCAGAATTATAAAATAAAAATGTATACTGAATATAGGGCGATGAATGATAATGGTCAAATACCGCCAAAATTCAAAAATTGAACATAATTTTGGCAAACGCGTCCTGTCTTGTATTAATGAAATCAGTCTGAAGGGTTTATTTTATTCATTAATTTTTAGCAGACAGTTTTCCATTAATGTTTCAAATTGTGATTTCTTGACACGATTTGACAAAATTCACTGTTTTATGAATTCTTCCTCTCTGGACTAAATACACTAGTTATTAGTACACATCTAAGTTGAAAATTACATTATTCTACAGAAGTATATTATATTGCACGAGAGATGCATTTATAAAATTTAAAAATAAGAAGTGAACAAAGAATATAGGGCAAATATGGACAAAACCAGCAAAAGTTCAAGTATTTAGTTTAAGCTTGGCAACATTGGAATATGTTCGATTTTATTTTATTGTTCAATTTTATTGAATTCTGCTCATGTTGTTCATAAGTTTAGTCAACAAACATTCTTTTAATCTGAAAACAAGACACGTAGGACAAAAACCGCAAAAATCGCCGATTTTGGTGGTTTTTTTTCAGTTTGCCGCTTGTTGCGCGTTTAATTTTGCTGTGAGCAGAAAGAATTTGTACAGCTAGTAGAAAGTTTAACAAGTTTTAACTGTAGAAATAATCACTTCTGTCGTCTTATCAACTCCTGGCAAGTCACTGGCCATAATCCGCCGAGAAAGCCGATTTTAAGCCATTTTTGCCAAATTTGGCAACTTCTCGATGACAATTTTGTTATGAAATGGTCAAATTCGGATTCAGCGCCAAAAATTACATAGGAAAGCATGGATATAATGCTACCCTGTGTTTTGGGGGGCTAAAATTTCTATCTGTCTGGTCTCAAAAAGCGTTGTCGCTCCATAAAGCTGGTTAAAAAAATTACGATATCTTGCGAACAAAAAAATTCCATGCATGATATCATATATCGATGGATGCGGAATCGATTAGACAACTTTTCATTCAAATCAGAAGATAGCCTTTTTGGATAAATGCGGATTTGTAAAATTTGTCGAATTTAAAAATCGAAAAATTGGCATCAATGAATGTTAAAATTAATGTGATATTAAAAGCATGGTCATTTCCCAATAGTCCGGGCAAAATCTATAAGGGGGGGGGGGAAATCGCCGATTTAGAACAACCCTCTTTTGAGAGCTTACGGAATTTTGTAAAGAGCTTGATGCAAAAACGGCTTTTTTCGCCCCCTCTGGAATTTCTTCAGACTTTGTCTATTGATTACTCATACTTGAGCGCTTCTTTTCCCAAATTTTCAGACCCCCAAAAAATTTTGGGGGGAGCTAGGGGGATGGAAGTCAAAACCTGTGAACCTCGATATCTCTCGAACGAAGAAAGATATCGAGGTCCGGTTTGAACGAAAAATCGTCTAAAATTGCATACTTTAAGATTCTGAAGGTCGAAATCCCGATATCGCATTTTTTAGTCAACATATGTGCTTTTTTCCAGTTTTTAGGTCTAGATAATTTCTTTTAAACGAAAAATTTACAAAGATCTCAATTTTTTATTTGAACCTAAACTAGTTTTTTAAATTGTTCGTCTTTTTCCGCATCCAACGAGTGGTCCATTAAGCTGGGAAACCAAACGGTTCCGGAGTTATGATCGATTGAAGTTTCCGCTCAACGCGCGCCGACCGATTTTCGCGCGCCAAAAAGTCGGATTCGGCTGTTATTAAATCAGATTGACTGTTCAAACTGAGCGAAATGCATTATTAGGGACTCTTGAGGGTCGCTGAGTTCAGAAATTACAGATACTTCCAAAAAATTCACGTTTTTAAAATTACAGCTCTGTAGCGCTATTTTAGAGGCCCACTGAGCGCCGACCGGCCGCTCAGTGGTCCTGTACGGAGCTGTAATTTTAAAAACGTGAATTTTTTGGAAGTATCGGTAATTTCTGAACTCAGCGACCCTCAAGAGTCCCTAATAATGCATTTCGCTCAGTTTGAACAGTCAATCTGATTTAATAACAGCCAAATCCGACTTTTTGGCGCGCGAAAATCGGTCGCTGCGCGTTGAGCAGAAACTTCAATCGATCATAACTCCGGAACCGTTTGGTTCCCCAGCTTAATGGACCACTCGTTGGATGCGGAAAAAGACGAACAATTTAAAAAACTAGTTTAGGTTCAAATAAAAAATTGAGATCTTTGTAAATTTTTCGTTTAAAAGAAATTATCTAGACCTAAAAACTGGAAAAAAGCACATATGTTGACTAAAAAATGCGATATCGGGATTTCGACCTTTAGAATCTTAAAGTATGCAATTTAAGATGATTTTTCGTCCAAACCGGACCTCGATATCTTTCTTCGTTCGAGAGATATCGAGGTTCACAGGTTTTGACTTCCATCCCCCCGTTCCTACTTTTTCACATGCCTTTAGTACATTGAAATGTTAAACTTTTAAAATTCTACGTTTTATGACGAGCTGAAAAATGTGCATTCAGGATCTGAAAATCGTTTAAAATACTTTTGTATCCTTCTTATTTTTACAGAGAATTCTTTTTACAAGAGCAATGGCTTATATTGTCTAAAACTAGGGTAAAACACCAAATTTCAATCTAAGTAAGAATATTTGACTATTTGCCGAGGCGTTTGACAAAATGCCTTATTTGACTATTTGCTTGTATGGGAGAAAACTAATGACACATAAGTTATTTTTAAACCAAGACAGAAATTTTGGTTCGAAACTGCAAATTGTGGCCCCATTTCTTTAATTCGAAGATTTATAATTGGAGCAAAACAGAAACCAGATTTGGACCATATGTTGCACTTAGTTTGTATGGATGAGCCAGAAATCGCAGTTCCCAACGGCAAAGTGTAGTTAAATTAAACCACTTAAAAATAGGCTGAAAACCTCTTTGTTAATTTTAAAGAGCAGTCTTTGAGTCCAAGAATATTAACTTTCATGAGCTCACCTATTACGTAATCATTTCTTTTCCCATGACATTTTCTGATTGATTAATTAATTAAACAGCAATCATCCTCAGAATATTCTCTGCTGTAATTACGGGTTTTAGCATTAATATCTTACCATGATCGACGGGACGCATCCACAAAAAATTTCCTCTCCATTCAGAAAGAAATGCAAAACCAGAATACAAAAATATAGTTAAGCTTCTGATAAAAATTTGAAAGCAGTAAGGAAGTCCAGATCATCCTGTCTGTGCGTAGCACGTGGTGAGCAGCTAGTCTGTCAAATATTGTGTGTAAAAATACCAAAGAATTCACTTTTAGCCATGGTTCTCTCTAGATTGTCGCTGAAAGTTCAGTTTTTAATAATATCCAAATTTTGCTGACGCCAAATTTCTTCGTATTTCATTCTTATTCCTAGTGAGAGGTAACTCTTATAATCAAACTAATAAACGGACAAGTAATGACGCTAATAAGACTTATCACGAACTTGATAAGCGCCTAAGCACCTTATAGCGACTCGTCACGGTCCAAGCCGAACAAATTTTGAATCTTTTATCCACTTTAAGCATATCAGTGCAGCAAAAAATTGGTATGTTATCACCTTAAATTAATCATCCATTAATCTTATTGTTTCTCTTTACAATGGATGTACTTTTTTCTACTTTTAATTTATTATAATACGTAACTATCATGTTTTTACTTTTTCTATACATTACCTATGATTTAAATTAATTGTTTGTATTTCTAAATTGGAAGCTAACAATAAATCATATCTTTAAAAAAAAAAAAAAAAATTCTTATTCCTTTCCAAATGGAATTACTGCGAGGCAGTACCTAACCTAATGTTTTTTGCAAGTTTCAGTCTCATTTGGTTCAATGTTGTAAATACCTCAATATGGCCTTTTCTTATTCGAACTGCAGAGGATTGCAATAGAATGCTATGAAATGTTTCTCTTTTTTATCCCTGCCCACCAGTGTGGTCCAGTCCGTTCCTCGCATCTGAGTGAACCGCTTGGATCCTTCTTCTAAGGTGTTGCTAGCGGTAACAGAAAATCATAATCTCAGCCGAAAGGCAGAGAACTCACTCCATAGCATTTCATGAATCTTAAAACCTTAATGTAGAGAAATCAATAGACTTTTGAACTCGGCAATTCCCAGCAAAATTGAAAAGGAGATTAGCCAGAAGTTTGAGACGGTTTATATCTGCTGTCACAATGGAAGTGTCTTCTGTGAAAGTGTGTGAAGGAGTTATTTTTGTGTTGCAGGTGGCATAGGAATGGGAATGGGTGGACGAGGTATGAGCCGTGGTGGCGGACCTCCCAGAGGCGGCAGTAGTTTGAAAGGGAAGCAGCCTGGTGGTAACCTACGCAAACCAAGATGGAACATGGAAGAGTTGCAGCCCTTCAGGAAAGATTTCTACACTCCGCACCCTAACGTTGTTAACAGGTAGATGTTAATTCGCAATCGAAGTGTTTGTCCAGGAACTACAGTCGAACCTCGATAACTCGAAGCTGAAGGGAAGCGATGAAAAATTCGAGTTATTGAGGTTTCGAGATTATCAAGGTTTCGAGTTAACAAAGTTTGGAGATGAAAAATTCGAGTTATCGAGGTGGGAGGTTCGAGGTTGGTGCTAGGTCAATTTAGAAAAAAAAACCGTTATTTGTTTTACGTTATCATAATAAGGGAATATTGGGGAATGAAAGTAGGAACTAATATTTAACCCCACGTCCGATCGGGTTAGGACAATGGTTTATTATTGGAAAAAATATGTACACAAAGATCAAGAATTAAATTTTAAAAAACTGAGTTATTCTGCTCTGCTGCAAGTGTTGCAAACGGTATCTATCTACCTCATTTTCCTCAGCTCACGTTCTTGTCCCGGCACTGCTTAATCCACACAACCAGGCACTCTTCGACATCAGAAAATTGTGCCCCGTCACTTTTTGAAAGTTCAAGGATCTTCTCCTCGTTTTTTAATATCGTTAAGAGGGTGCTGGGTGGGATACCGAACTCTTTTGCAATTTGTTCCTTTGTCTTCGCACCTCTGTGTTTCACCGCCTCCAATATGCTCACTTTTTGGGCGACACTCAACGCGGAACACTTGCGCATTTTTTTTAACTCGTCACAACATTAACTGATGATAAACTGATTAACCTGCCACCGCTGATTGCCTGCGGCCGCCTTGAGATTATCTGGGCCGAAGCATCCTTCGAGTTATATAGGTTTTTCTCCAATTCCTTCGAGTTACTGAGGTACATATTTGACACATGGTAGTTGCCTTCGAGTTATAGAGGTAAACCGCCGATTCCTTCGAGTTACTGAGGTACAAATGAGCCTCAAATGTCTTCGAGTTAACGGAACAAATTTTTCGAGTTATCGAGGATTTTGGCCTTCTGCGGAAGGGAACGGACATTTTCTTCGAGTTATTGAGGTTTTCGAATTATCGAGGTTCGAGTTATCGAGGTTCGACTGTATATGAAAGTCAAGGGAAAAAGTTAGTAACAAGCTGATTTTTGCCATAGTGAGTCCTTGTGACCTCCTAAGTCCCCTTTGCACATTTTTGACGATTATTGTGCAGGAATAGTTTGCTCAGGGCTATTCAAGGACAAATGCTGCTTCATACGCTACTCTGACCTGTTGGTATGATTCATTGTCAGTCTGTTGACTACTGTCTCTGCGCCCAAGCCTGGGAGGGGACGGACGGACTGCGGAACGTTCTTACAGGCGATAAAAGTGTGTTGTATCTAATTGCCCCAGATTTTCAAGAATTGAAAGTATCAGCATAATAATCTCTGCGAGAAACAAACCTTGAAGGTTCATGACCCAATTGAGGTTGCTCGTTAATTCCTGTGTTATCAGTGTCCAAGTGATTTCTTTATATTCTCAAAATTTGCTTCGGAATTAAAAAGTAAAATTTGAATGATTTTGCACTTTTATTTTTAAGAAAGGAAAAAAGAGGATCCCTATTTTACTCAACAAGTAAAAAGCGTACACCCATATCATGTATGAACTGTCCAAGATTCGTCTCCCATTAGACCGTGGGCCAGCAAGGGGTAACCCTCCTCTCCCCCCCACCCCACGTGGGAATTTTGAATATGGTGATTTTCTTGAAGCTCTCAATTAGTAGAATAAGATTTTTCTTGTTTACGCGAATTTTATTGTGGTGGGGGGGAGTAGGCCCCCCCCCCCTAAACCCCTCAAAATTGCTCAGAATTCCGACTTTTCTGCGAATCTTCCCATTTTTCTCGAAAAGGCTTGATTTTAGGGCAAAACTCCACACAATCATTCTGAAAGCTCGTGAAATTTTATCGTGAACATAATTTAACGAGGGGGAGGGAAGAGGGGTTTACCCTCCTCTTCCACTCCCTCCCCCTCCCCCAAAAAAAATAATCAAGAAAAAATTTAAATAAACGCGAAAATTCCATACTCTAAAAGGCGACTCTTAGGGTGTGTCATTGTCACGCTCACACTAATATAATTTAATGAGGGAGGGGGGGGGGGGGTAGACATCTTAGCTTCCCCAGCTAACATTAAAAAAGGGTGGGGGAGGGGTAATTTAAAAACGTTACTTACTTAATAATAGGAGGGGCGGGGAAACCTAGCTGCAGTAGGAGAATTTTAAGATTTGAAGGGATACGTAATTAAATCAGGGAACGTAGAGATACTATTTTATTTTTTGGAAATGACTGAAACTGAGGGGAGTTTATTTATAATTGACGGAAATATACATTCTTAAGCTTATGTCAACATGTTTGAAACGTTTAAAGAATATGCTCCAAGTGTATTGGATCGTTTGCCAAAGTATTCAATCATTCATTTGGTCACAGACAGATACTGCAGTGAACTCTGATTGACGAATAATTATCAAGATAGTTCGACTCGGAAAAAAGCAAAATTAGTTGAGTGTTTGTTTCTGATTGGTTTGATTTTTATTGAGTTTGCAAGATGAAGTCAACTTTTACACCGTTAGCAGAAATAAACTGGGTAGGCCCTTCTCCATGCCTTAAATATACTTTTTCCAGTGAGAATATTGGACGTATTTCCTTCGGTTCCATTCAGTTAAGAATAGATTGATAAGTTTGTTCTTGTTTTTACACTTGCCTAAAATACTTTTCAAACTACGGGGTATTTTGGTTGGGGGTCCTTTCGTGAAAACGTATCCCTTAATCCCCCTTGTAATCGCTGAATGTTTTTGATAAATTTATCACTGCAGTTTCTGTCTGTGACGAAATGAATGATTGAATACTTTGGCAAACGATCCAATACACTTGGAGCATATTCTTTAAACGTTTCAAACATGTTGACATAAGCTTAAGAATGTATAATTCCGTCAATTATAAATAAACTCCCCTCAGTTTCAGTCATTTCCAAAAAATAAAATAGTATCTCTACGTTCCCTGATTTAATTACGTATCCCTTCAAATCTTAAAATTCTCCTACTGCAGCTAGGTTTCCCTGCCCCTCCTATTATTAAGTAAGTAACGTTTTTAAATTACCCCTCCCCCACCCTTTTTTAATGTTAGCTGGGGAAGCTAAGATGTCTAACACCCCCCCCCCTCCCTTCATTAAATTATATTAGTGTGAGCGTGACAATGACACACCCTAAGAGTCGCCTTTTAGAGTATGGAATTTTCGCGTTTATTTAAATTTTTTCGTGATTATTTTTTTTGGGGGAGGGGGAGGGGGTGGAAGAGGAGAGGGGAGGGTAAACCCCTCTCCCCTCCCCTCTCGTTAAATTATGTTAGTGTAAGCGTGTCAATGAGAAGCCCTGAAAGTCGTCTTATAAAGTGGAATTTTCGCGTTTAATTAACATTTTTCGTGAATATATTCTGGGGGGAAGGAGGAGGATATATCTCCCTCCCCCCTGTCACCTCCCACAAGAATCCACATTGATGTTCTCTCAGAACGAACGCTAATTGTTTTCATTTTGCCGCCCATTTTTGCGCATAACGCTACTTCAAGGAAGCGGTCATTCTTGACGGTTTTTATAGGGTGGGTACTGCAGGGGGGCCCCCTTCCCCCCACGAGGGGTTAGGCCGCCCCTTGAATGAAAAATTAATGCTCTATTAGTTTAGGGGTAAACAATTTTACGATAATACCAACCTTTTTCGCGTTATTGGCGAGAAATCGCGGCGAAACGGTCATTTTCGCGGAAATTTGAGATATTTTGACATTTTAAGCCTTTCCATTTTGGGGGACCGCGGATCCTGGCCAAAGTCAAACAAAACTTTTCTAAACCAAAATTTCACGAGCTTTCAGAATGGTTGGATGGTTGGTTCAGAATGGTGGAGTTTTGCCCTAAAATCAAGCCTTTTCGAGAAAAATGGGAAAATTCGCGTAAAAGTCGGAATTCTGAGCAATTTTGGGGGGTTTCGGGGGGCCTACTCCCCCCCACCACGATAAAATTCGCGTAAACAAGAAAAATCTTATTCTACTAGTCGAGAGCTTCAAGAAAATCACCATCTTCAAAATTCCCACGGGGGGGGGGGGGGGGGGTGGGAAGGGAGGGTTACCCCTTGCTGGCCCACAGTCTACATGGGGAGGGAATTTTTGTTGTTGCTTTAAATTTTTGGGAAACCACCATACTGGATGATACGCACTTATTTCATTGATGAAAATTGTTTTTTATTGCATTTATTTATTTATAAAATAATGTAAATATAGAATCTGTAGGGCGCTTTCTTCAGTGCGCTCTTTGTCCCCCCCTTTCTGTCAATGTTGAAATTGCTCCCTCTGGAGCAGTAGCCCTCTGTAAGCTGTCCTTTAATGCTCTAAACTATCCAAAGAAGGTGGAGAAAAATATAATTTTAACTAAGAGAGCAAGGCTTTTCCAGATGTTCCATCAGATTTATCTATGAAATAGAATAAAGAACGGAATTGCAGAGGATCTACTTCAAATTTGCCTGAGAGTCACCCTGAAAAAGGGAGGGGGGGAGTCTCGCACTGTAACACACCCTGTTCCCCCTCCGCCTCAGAGCGAACGTTACAGCTTGCTCTCTCACTGAACCGGCCGCACGCCACTGGGTGTCCTGCAAACAAATTGGTGCTCATTCTGGTATGAAGTAGCCAAAGTTGTAGTTTAGATCCTTTTTGTTAGATAGAACTAGAAATGTGAATAATTTTGAGTGGAGATTGTGAGGTAATGATAGAAATGCTTCAGGAAGGATACTGTTTCTCTGAACGCAAATCCTAGTTTCATGATTATGGAAGGGTTCAAATTTGAAGAATTATTTTTTCTCGCTCTTTGTTACTACACAACCTGTTGGAGCTGCATTAAAGATAAATTAATCTTGCTTTTTGTCACAGGCCACAATCTGAAGTCGAAAAATATAGAAAAGAGAAAGAAATAACCATCAAAGGTAAAGATGTTCCAAATCCCATTATCAACTTCAACGAGGTCATATTCCCTCCTTACGTGGTAGATGAAATTCGCCGACAAGGATTTTCAGCACCCACAGCTATCCAAGCCCAGGGATGGCCAATTGCTTTGAGCGGTCGTGATATGGTTGGAATTGCTCAGACAGGCTCAGGAAAAACTTTAGCGGTGAGTCCTGAAGATGTTCGCTTTCTTTCAGTAACTTCAAGATTTTTGGTGATGATTTATATTTGGTTAATGAGTAAGTCAAATAATATCTGTCATGTAATGATATTAATAGTTATGGTTCATACCTTTGAATTCAACAGTTTGAACGCACAGGAATCGATGTATCACACATCGGAGACATTTTTAAAATGTACTTTGAATACACTTTGAGTCAGAAAAAGCTTTTACGAATTTTAGGCTCGGAAAAATCGGCGTTCCGAAAAACTGGAGGGTGATAGAACAAAACCGATGTCATAATCGGATTCAGCAGTTCAAAATACGCACATAAATAACACACCAGGTCCAGGAAAATATATAAAAATAAATTGCATGCATGACAAATATACGAGGTATGATCAATTAGAAACCGAACTTTGGTGATGATTGGATCGATGTTTTCTTGGGCTTATCTGATTGCTGATAAACTGACAAACACGCTGGTTTTTTACGAACTTCAGTTATCCTTATTAACTTTCATGTTACATGCCTGCAAATGCAGTATGTTCCCATGCGTTTTGTGAAGAGAGTAAAAAATGCACACAAAAAAATGATTTAATGAGAAATGTCAATGCCTGGTGCAGCAGCAATCTGCATCAGCATTTGAGCGCTCCAGCAGCTGTCGGCAGATGAAAACGCGCTTTTCTTTTTGCGCTTGGGTTAACAACTTGGGAATCCACTTTGCAGAAACTCTATGCATGTTCAAATTTTGAGTTAAAATTGTCTGAACGGACCCAAAAGAAATATTCAGTTCCTCTGAAAGCTCCCGAATGGTTTAACGGCCGTCAGTTTGTGAATCAAGTTCGCGTTAACTATCGTTAATAGTGCAAAAGTTTCGGGAAACATTTTACCCAACTCAGGACAAAATTTAATGTTACACCGTTGTTCTAAAAGCTCACGCATTTCTCAATTGCAACACGCACTTGAACACACTTGAATTAAACGGCTGTAAAATTAAACTAATGACTAATAAAGATAATTGAATTTCGTAAAACCCAACGTGTTTGTCAGGTTAGCAGCAATCAGATAAGCCCAAGAAAATGTCTATCTGATCATCTGTTGGCGCGCAATGACCAAAGTTCGGTTTTTAATTGATCATACCTCATACATCAAATTTGCTCATTTTCCCCGGAAAAAGTTGCTTTTCCGGGAAACTGAGAGGTGAACGGGAAAAATTGAGGTGATTTTCCGACTCAGCAGTTAAAAAGACATAGGCGAAATTGTATCTCGGAGCTGAGAAAAATTTTACCTACATTCTGCAGGAGGTAACATTCGGAAAAACACCAAAAATGCTCCGAAATGGCCATTTTTCCGAGTAAAATCGGCTTATTCGGAACAGTGGAGGATAATGTATAAAAACTGAGGTCATATTCGGATTCAGCACTTCAAAATACGTTAGGATAACCTTATCTCGTCCGGGAGGCATTCTTAAACATATGTGTTTTCGATGTTTTAGAACTGTCCTCGCACAAATCATGGGAAAACCGCTAATGTCCTGTTTATTGCCGGTAGTTTCGTGATGAAACTTGTCTTAAGGGACGCAACTGTCCAGAATTTTATTTTTTTAACTTCATTTGAACAATATGACCGCTTGAATGTCTTTAGAATGAATTTTGATAATATCAAACGGCTCGCCAAAACTAGGCGATTTTCACGTATGACTTTTTTTCGCATGAGCCGACTCAGTCATTACAGTCAGTGTGTTCATTGCTAAGTGACAATTACCTATGATGTTTTGCTCGACAAAGGCAGAATTGGGGCGTGTCAGGACATGTGCCACTATCAAAATTTGATACAGAACTTACAGAAAAAATTGAGCATTGGTATCATCAACTCGTTAATGAAAAACTAATGTTTCTTATTCACCTAAACGTAGTCAATTCAAACTTCTTGTTTGCCAAAAAGAGCAGTACGTATTAACGTATTACGTTACTATTACGTATATTCGTATTATTACACGACGTATTATTCACATAAATCAAACGGACGGAACACATGTAATTGTTCTCCAACTAACCAAATCTAGATATTTTAAAAATTCATTTTAAATCTGATGCTTGGCACTTGTAAATTTATGTAGCAAAGATGCAGGACCGCCAAAAATTTTTATTACATAGACTATGCTAACAGAGAAGAGAAATCATCAGTTTCCAAAGAATTAAGGTGACTAGTTTTCCAAGTAAAAAAAAATGATGACCGGAAGTCTTCAACTTTGCAAACGGAGATACATAGTTTCACATGTGGCCATTGATATGTTATTCTCTGTGGCTGATAACGTTATTTTGATGAAAATGAATCAACTTTTTTCTCACATGACTAAGGATCATCTGGAACAGGCCAGACCAATCCACACAGGTTAGTCATTCCCATGGACAAGTTTGGAGACGGCTCATTCCGCATTTTGGCAGGATATTTAAATGCAGTGCATTTCTCTTGGGAGCTGTCAATATGACCTCACACTGACTGCGATCAATGGGTCAGTTGCGCTGGTCACAGAATCGTATTTTGGCGTTTGAGTCTTGTAGATCAGCTAAAATTAATAAGATCCGTCCAAACAGTAACTCTCTACTTTCAATATTAATCAAGTTATTGCGCTTTGAAATATTCGGTTTTTGACGTCATCCACCGCGGTAGTGACACCCTTGGTTTCTTTGACCTTGCTTTCATCCAATTTTCATGTTGAGTTACCAGTGTGAATGAGTGCCTTACTGACTGATGAAATTTAGGTGGAAGAAACCAAGGATGTCATTACCGCTGTGGATGACAACAAAAACCCGACTTCTCAAAGGACGATATCTCGGTTAATATTGAACGTAGATAGTCTGTTTAGAGAGATCTTATCATTTTTAGCTAATTTACAAGAATCAAGTACGAAAACTTGATTATGTGACCAGCGCAACTGACCCATTGACGGCCGGGCGGGGGAGTGGATTTCACCAAGATGCGCAACAGTTAACACGATAGTCAGTGTTGCGACAGTTAATGTTAAAATATTTTTATTTATTAAAGTAGCTAAATTACCTCATATTATATTTTACAATTTAAATACTTATGGGAAGAATTGTTGGAATATCAATAATAATCAATATAGGTAGCAAAAAGATCTGGAAATGACTTACTAAAATCGTCAATAATCTTAGAATTATAAAAGTAACTACAGTGGATTGGTCTTTAGAACAGATACTCAGTTGAATAATGTGTTTTGCGCTCAAAAGCTTTCACCGTTTTTACGTAAAGTATGAAAAGCTGTAAGTAAATTTTTATTCTTGGTATCTTTCAGTACATTTTGCCTGCCATTGTACACATCAATAATCAACCAAGAATTTTAAGACATGACGGTCCAATAGCATTAGTTCTCGCGCCCACCCGAGAACTTGCCCAACAGATCCAGCAAGTGGCTGCAGATTTCGGGTCATCAACTGCAGTCCGTAACACCTGTGTCTTTGGAGGAGCTCCAAAAGGGCCACAGGTAATTCTTTATTTGAATCTGTCTCTAATTCATGAAGTAGCTCCATTCAGGGAGAGTGAGAGAGAGAAGAAAGGAATGATTTGGACAGTGAAACAGTAAGGCCGACGGAATTAGAGATAAGACTACTACTCAGCATTGTAGTGGTACCTGAGCACACTGAAGTTTTCCTGTTTTTTTCCTTGTTTTCAGCCGGTGCTGAAAGATACAGAGACTTTTCTCGACTCTTTATTGTTGTGCTGCCCTCATATACTCAAGGAAATATTGAAACTTTCATAGCGTATTGTGCAAAAACGGTGCTGACTTCTGATCAGCATCCATAGACAAGTTAAATGCAATTGAAAAGGTGGAATTCGAAGTGGGCATACTTTCCCTGAAAAAGTCTGTAGGGTAGGGTGTCCCTTATTTTTGAAATTTGAGAAAAGTTAAGCTCCCTAGGTCTCAAAACGTGCTATGAGGTGTACAAATAAGGAATGTTTTTTGGAAAAAATTTTTGGGACTCTCTCAAGCGCCCTAAAGGGCGTCAGTCGAAAACGTTCATTTCTGGTAGAGTGGATAGTCAATCCTAGGTGAAATTGACGAATTAACGCCTGTAAGGCAAAAATTTGGTCCGTTTGGTCGTATCTTTGATCGTTCAGCCGGAAAACCGACTTAAATGGGCGGGAAGTCGAGCCGCGGCCGCGCGCCGCGCGCGGCTGACCGAGACAAGCTTTGCATCGCGCGCCCGCCGGCCGCGCGCGGCGACGCGCGTGGGTTGTGAGTGAGGAACATGTACTCATACACAGCTAAACGTAGTGCAGGAAGCAACGATGGGAAGGCTGCAAAAAAAGAAACGGGGCGTTTTGTAATATTAACTTCTCATGCTCAACTGGAAACCAAGAAAAATAAAAATATAAATAAATGAATTAATAAATAAATAAATGAAAATAAAAGGCTAAACACGAGTTGTTGATTCGCTGTTATTGCGAGACGGAGACTCAATGTTGTTCTTCAGAGGGAGGACAATTAAAATTCTGATAAGGCTCTTTAAAATTAATATAAATTGTTCAATGTTTAAAAACGACTTCGGCATGAAATCAGTTAAGCGTACCATCGTCCAACTTGCGTAGTAACATATTTTTGTGGCAACAATAGCAATATGAGGTAGTTTAACAAAAGTCAAAGCCTATCAAAATTTTTCGATGTCATTAGCTAGAATTTTTTTGGATATTTTATGAACATTGTTTGTGAAGTGAGACGATACTTGTAGTAAATCTTGAAATTTTACTCACCTTCAACTTTCTTATTAAATTTTTGCATCAATTTGACGGCCCTTTCAGTATGGTCCTTCACTACTTCAAGGGCTAAAACAATTTGGTACATATGTATGTATTCCGGGCTTTCTGGACATATACTGGGTCTATATCTAAAAATGCCGATGAAATACCAAGAATGTCAACAAAAAGCCATGCTATTTTTTGTAAATAAATCAGTCAGTCTGGTGAATTCCTCAGGCAGAGCATCTCGACGTCTGAGTGGGGCAGGGAGGCCTGAATTATGTTTTAAATTATAAACACACAGCATCTTCTTCTTCGACGAAATTCTCTTATCGAAAAGAGACAGAGGGACGAGCACTTCACTCAAGTACCATTAGTGGTTTGAAAATTTCTGTAGAGCTCGCTACCTGCTAAAGGATCAAATTTTTAAATTCTACTAAGTCTTCAATGAGGTGAAGGTTATTTTTGGGAGCGCCAGCAGAATGGGGAGAACGAAACGGACATTTTATATACACCTTGACAATAAAAAATATTAACGTGAAGAATTCCTTTTTGTTTCTCTCCTAAAAGGGGGAACTAATTTCTAACATCAAGATCTTCAGAGCGTGAATCGCTTTATTCATCCACCGAGCCTTATTAAATGAAGTTGTGAAGGACCATACTGAAAGGGCCGTCAAATTGATGCAAAAATTTAATAAGAAAGTTGAAGGTGAGCAAAATTTCAAGATTTACTACAAGTATCGTCTCACTTCACAAACAATGTTCATAAAATATCCAAAAAAATTCTAGCTAATGACATCGAAAAATTTTGATAGGCTTTGACTTTTGTTAAACTACCTAATATTGCTATTGTTGCCACAAAAATATGTTACTACGCAAGTTGGACGATGGTACGCTTAACTGATTTCATGCCGAAGTCGTTTTTAAACATTGAACAATTTATATTAATTTTAAAGAGCCTTATCAGAATTTTAATTGTCCTCCCTCTGAAGAACAACATTGAGTCTCCGTCTCGCAATAACAGCGAATCAACAACTCGTGTTTAGCCTTTTATTTTCATTTATTTATTTATTAATTCATTTATTTATATTTTTATTTTTCTTGGTTTCCAGTTGAGCATGAGAAGTTAATATTACAAAACGCCCCGTTTCTTTTTTTGCAGCCTTCCCATCGTTGCTTCCTGCACTACGTTTAGCTGCGTATGAGTACATGTTCCTCACTCACAACCCACGCGCGTCGCCGCGCGCGGCCGGCGGGCGCGCGGCCGCGGCTCGACTTCCCGCCCATTTAAGTCGGTTTTCCGGCTGAACGATCAAAGATACGACCAAACGGACCAAATTTTTGCCTTACAGGCGTTAATTCGTCAATTTCACCTAGGATTGACTATCCACTCTACCAGAAATGAACGTTTTCGACTGACGCCCTTTAGGGCGCTTGAGAGAGTCCTAAAAATTTTTTTAAAATTTTTTCCAAAAAACATTCCTTATTTGTACACCTCATAGCACGTTTTGAGACCTGGGGAGCTTAACTTTTCTCAAATTTCAAAAATAAGGGACACCCTACTGTATGGTCCTTTCAAAACGTGAAACTTCACCTCCCATCTCTGGCCACTCGAGCTTTGAACGGACATTCCCACTATCGTTCTGCCCTACTTCATTAAAAGGCAGAGTGAAGTGCTTTTCCCTTTCACGGACTTATCATTTTTTCTGAACAAAGATTAATGTATTAAATATGTTCAATTTGTACAGGCAGGAGATTTGGAAAGAGGTGTAGAAATCGTAATTGCAACCCCCGGACGATTGATTGATTTCCTCGAAAGAGGGACCACCAATCTACGGCGATGTACCTATTTGGTACTTGATGAAGCAGACAGAATGTTGGATATGGGTTTTGAACCTCAAATTAGAAAGATTATTGAACAAATTCGACCTGACAGACAAGTGCTTATGTGGTCTGCAACTTGGCCAAAGGAAGTGCGTCAATTAGCAGAAGAATTTCTCCACGATTATATTCAAATTAACATTGGATCTCTGAACCTGTCAGCCAACCACAATATAATGCAAATCATTGATGTCTGCGAAGATTATGAAAAGGAACAAAAGTAAGTATCAGTCATCTTTCCAAAGGAGTACCCTTCGCCTGTGTATGATTTTCCTTTGATTAGCAGTGTTTCTGTAGAGGATGCTCTGTGTGCGTCCTGCTGGAGTCATGACTGGAAAGTAAGTGAGCGTTTTTAAGTGTGGGCCACTGTTGCTAGTATGTTTTGGCAATATAATCTGAATTAAAAACAATATTTTCTTTATTTTTTATAGCACTGTGGAAATAAAAGAATCAATCTAGAAAAATCAGCATGTCAAAGTTAACCATCCATTGCTGTAATTTCTCTAATACTTTTGTAACTGAACATGACACCCCACTTACACGAACTCATTGAACTCACTTCAAAAAACATCAAAGACATTACTGACTGATTGATAGGAGTTTTTAATCTTTGGAACCTGCATTGAGAGAGCTCAGCTCAGAGAAGGACTGATATTTAGTGTTTTTTTTATAATTCTAACTCCAGGAGAAATGACAGAATCTCAGAAGTCTCTGAAAATAAATCGTAAGGATGAAGTGAGACTTGCCCTAAGACAGAGAAAAGTATGTCAAAAATTCATTTGAACTTCATGCTTGTCTTGGGCAGAAATACAATACAAAATGAAAATGAAATACAATATTTAAAGAAACTGAAATGCATGAGTGGGGAAAGCCAACAGTAGAGCTCTTGCATGTGTGAGGAATTTGCGTTTTAAATACTGTTTCCTCAGTGAATTTCTGTAAAATTACCTCTGGATATCTCAGCATAACATGAGGGATTTCCTCTATTATTGCCTCGACTCTTCAACTTTGAGAGCTTTCTTTGTTCTTGGGAGATCATTCTAAAGAATACTGGTAGCATCATTGTGTTTTTTGCAAATATTCACTGAAGAAATAGTAATTAAAACGCAAATTTCCAACACATGCTGCAGCTCTTTTATTGGCTTTCTCTACTCATGCATTTTAGTCTGACTGACTTTCAGTTGTGACTTCTGCCCGAGTTAAGCAGCCAGTTCAAATGCATTTTTGACTTGAATTTCTGAAATTTTGCATTTGCAAAAGGACCCCTCACAGGACAGGAGGCTCACTGGCTCCCAGTACACTTAAAGAAAATTTTAGTAGATTAACGTAAAGTTTATCATCAGCACAGAGCCAAAAAATTGGCCAATTCTACTGAGTAAAAGCTACTGGGATATTTGTGCTTGTACATGCGGACTATTTTCTATCATTTCATAGCACGGGCGAAGAATTACGAGTTCTCTCTCCTGGTTGTTTGACATTCTCGATCAGACCTCACACGCTGACATGTGCTTATACGCTCGCCCGGTGTGGAGGCCATACTTCCTCTTTCGCCAGATCATCTGTCGGATCTGTTTTAGCAATTCTTTGGCATTTTGGACTCCATATTGCTCTGTCTGAGCTGGCCGGAGCGTCCGTATGAAAATAATACGAGGTCGTAGCCATCTAGCGGAGGGAGAGGTGTTCTTCGCAGGCAAGGAAAGACCACGCAGAGCGCCTATTTATCTCTGCTGTACAGGGAAAAGTCCGCATGTTCAATGGTGAATATTTCAGCTCCTGCTGGGTGAAATTGTTAATTTTTTGGCTTTGCGCTAACAATGAACTTTATGTCAATCAATGAAAGTTTCATCGAATTGTACCAGGTGCCACAGGGTAGTTTACATTTTTGAGTATTCTAACGAATTAATGTGAATTACCTGCTCTATTTTAGATTGTGCCAGCTACTCTCAGAAATTTTCAATGAGCCGGACAATAAAACTATCATCTTCGTCGAAACGAAGCGAGGTGTCGATGAAATCACTCGGATCGTGAACAGAGGAGGCTACAGAGCTGTAAGCATACATGGTGACAAATCGCAACAGGATCGTGATTATGTTCTAAATGAATTCAGGAACAGCAAAGCATGTATTTTAGTTGCCACAGATGTTGCCGCCCGTGGCTTAGGTAAGTACTATAATGAGTATCAGAATTGCCTTCCAAGGTGAGGTCTCAAAAGCAAACATCTGTTTTTGATAATTAGAGCCAGAGGGCTTACCGGACATTCAGTTTGATCTATTCCCGTGTGTTGTCATGGAGGGTAAACGACTTAAATCCTCATTGATGCATTGGATAACTCTTTTTTTTGTTTTGCAAAGTGAGTTGATAAGTGACACTTTGGATTGTTACGTCATACTCCCCTGTTGCCCATCATTCTAGATTTTTCAAAGAACATGTAACATTGAAGTCAGTTGGTTCAAAGCACTGAATACTCATTCCCAGACTGCAATCAACAAGTTTTTTATGTTAACAAGTTATCTTTTTGTAGCAGAGTATGCCGCTTGAAGCTTTGGACCTAACTCCTACTATAATTTATTTATCATCTTACATGTGCTCTCTCAGAATGCATGTTTCGCCTTCAAGGCACCTTGACATTAAAACTAGTAATGAATACTGACGATAATACTACTTCTCAGAAGGTTATTCAAAAACGCCAATTTTCTTTGACCAGCGGTTGGCAATGAGCAATTGCTCAGATGGAGTTTACGGTCAATACTTCTTCTACAAGGAACTTGCGCTGCTGTGTCTAGCCTGTGAAGTGCGCTTGGGTGTCTAGCTCCTACTGAAAACTTAAATTTTCTAAATTGTCCATGTAATTTCTGGGGCTTATTGGGGAAAAAATGATAAAACATTATAACAATGAATTGATTTTAAGAGTCCATGGAAAGCATCGCAGCCTGATTCGAGGCAATAGCTTGGGAGGATCCCCTTTTTAGTTTTCAATTTAATTTGCATTTCCTCAGTAGAGAAGAGTTCGGTTTTCCTGGAATCTGGCAGTTATACAATAAAACCAGTTGGTTGGTGAGAACAGAAGGAAAATTTGAAGAAATCACTCAGGGTCGCAGAAAGTTCTTAGCCTTCCTCAATGTATAATGTGCTTTTCCCAAATTTTGATGTTTTGCCATAATTGCATCTCCACTCGAAAAAGCGCTTAAAAGACTTCTAGCACATGAAACAGCCTGAACTCTCATCGTATTTGCATTTTTGTGTTAATTGTCTGCAAAACGAATCGATATAGGTCAAGACGAAGAAAAAGAGGCCTTCCCCTATTTTCAAGCAATTAGCCACTCAATCAAGATTGCGTGATCAAGAACATTCTGCACCCCTAAAGTGAGCAACGAATATAAAATATAGAGGCGTGTAATGAACTAGTGAAGTCAGGGAAAGTCCCTGCTGAACTTCAAATCTAAAGTTTGTCCTACACTAGGTTCTAGGTGCGGTGCCCCTCCCGTCGGCGGGGGGCCCTCTCCTCCCTTTACCTGGTGGCAGTCAGTGCAGGTGATTTGCGCCTGCCGAGCAAAAGTAGTTGTCATGAACGGCCGGCTGTCATCCTGGCATTGGGGGTGGGGGGTTCCCGGCTGTATGGAGTGGGGGCTCGTCTTTTCTCGCGCGTGGGGGGCTGCGCTCTGGGCCGGGCGTGGGCTTCAAGAGTCTTTTTTATCAAGAGACCTTGGTCTCAATAATAGTTAAATAATTAACTACTCTGTTGTTAATTTTTTTTTCCTCTGTTAATTACTAGTAGAAGCAATGAATGTAATATCCTTTTGTGATAGTTTTCAATAAATTATTAATGAAAAAAAAAAAAACTAGGTTCTAGGCATCAGCAGATTTTTACGCATTGAGAAAACTGGGAAAACTCAGGGAATTCGAAGGGACTGGGAAATATCAGAGAGAACTCAGGGAATTCAAGGAGGTCCCAGGAAATCGAACGTGAAACAGTTCACAACAGTTCACAACCTATAATACTATCCAAATGCTGAGGAAAATGTAATGAACCAATCGAAGTGGAGTATTTTAAGTAATCAGACAATGGTGTGTAATACTGCTAGCCATTGACCAATTGGATTGACAGATTTAAAAAATTTGCGCTCTCTATTGCGTGCTGATCGGTACGAGCACATTTCTTAGCAGTGAAAGTGGAAACTGATCTCAAATCTGTCTGTGTTTTTACAAAGTATCAACCACAGAATAGAAAGAATTTCGGCTAAGCTAGCGCTAAGCGCTGGCTTAACTTTGCAATTTTGCTACAGTTTTTTTGAGTAAGATAAGTTTTCGAAGTCAAACATTCTCAATTGTCTCGAGATTGGCATGCCAATTCAAAGAGAATCACGTCTGAAAAGTGCACTTTTTGGTATTTGAACAGGTGCCGCTGTTACAATCAGAAATACGGAGCCTAGAGCCTCGGATTTAATTTTGAACTGAGTTACCGCCTGCGAGACGAGGAGCTTGCTCCTCGATCACCTACATTTTTTTACTAGGCAAATGCGTGTTAAACTGCCGACAAATGCAATGCTCAGACCCGATTTTCTGGAGATTGGTACATGACTAGTGCGATTATTATTAGAGCTCATCCTCCTCAAGAGATCTGAAGGAGCATCATAGTAAAAAATCTCCAAAAGCAGATGCCGAATTTATAGTACTCTGTGCATAGTCCTTTTCGGATGAACACCATTAATAGTTCAGAATGTTAAGCTAAAAAAAGTTTCAAGCACTGCTCCCTTTAAGGAAAATTGCTCACTGTCACATTATCATTTAAACATTAAGCTACAGTACCGATTCATTATCAACACTTATAAAAATACTGTGAAAACGATTTCCTTCAAACTTGGCAAGAATGAAGCTAAGAACCTTCTGAGCATGTCTAAATAATCAAATTTTGAAAAAGTAGTTGCTGAAGCCTGAAAAAGAGAAAAGTTGTTTCTCCCTATACTAATGTATTGGAGATACGAGGTTGCTTATGCGCACCGTGCTGACGTGTTAGTTCGGCTCCTGCTTGACCGATTTTTGTGAAACTGTATTAGTGGGTTTATTTTGTACCTCTTCTCTCATTGTTTGGTACACCTTACATTTGCCTTTTGCAGTAACTAACTGGTAATTGCAATTGCATCAGCAGGATCGAATAGAACTTTTGCACCTCTCATTATTTTTGGAAATTTGATGCCCTTTTTTTCTTTCTCTTCTAATTTTTGTCTCTTTTATTTTTTCCTCTATTTTATTCTTTCTATTTTCTTTTCTTCCTACTCTTATTTTCTTATTCCTCTTTTGATTTTTTTTCTCTCATTCCTTTTTTTATTTTTCAGCCTTTTCTTTACTTCTTCTCAATTTTTGTCAAGCTCCTTTGTTACTTCATTTATTCCATATTTTTGGTTTTTCTCTTATTTTTTCCATACCCTCATCTCCACCTCCTCTTCCTCAGTCGTCTTTTTTCTCAATTTTTTCTTCCTCCTTTTGCTTTTATCTTTTATTTTCTCCTTTTTTTAGTTCATCGTTTCCTCCTCTTTGATTTTGATTTTTCTTTCTACTCACTCTCACTCTCTCTCACTCACTCACTCACTCACTCACTCTCTCTTTCTCTCTTCACAGTTCGTAGCCAAAGTGAAACGAGTCACGTAGTAAGCGCAGAGCGATTTCCCCATTGGTCCAGGGGGCTATAGCCCTTTGGCTGGCTGTGACGGCTAGCTGTAGCATGCCGGAAACAGCCAGTATTTATTTACTACTATAATAATGTGACAGTGAACAATTTTATATGAAGAGCATGAGGGAGCCTTAGCTGACAATGCCCTCTGCTCAGTACATTTATGATAACTTCATCGTGAGTTTTCTCTTTTCACCCAGGGAATTTGAAGTTTGCGAAAGAGTAGAAATCCTGTATCGGTAGGATCTTGATGCCAAAATTCTAAAGGTAATCCATTCAATAGAATGAGGATTTAAATAAGAGATATTTTTGATGAGAATAGTCTGAGGAAAGATTAAAAATCTTGAGAAAAGAGCAGTACCTAAGCTTTCATGCTGTCATGCATGATTGTACCACCTCTGATTCTTAGCTCCATGAAGGTAGTGAAGCCCGATGGTTGAGATCTCTTGCGCTTGCTTCATCATTGGCTTGATGCATGGCATTCCACATCAAATGGATTGTATTGTTCAAGGAAGGAGGCATAACCGGGCTCTCCATTTCTAAGTATCCAAGAGAGAACTTATTCGTTCATGGGAAAAGACATTCTTGTGAAAAACCTCCTTGTTCAAATCTTTTTTCATGGGTAACTTTGACAGAAAAATGCCCAAACAAGCATACACATATATAAAAGTCACTCCTACAACGCACTCTGGCGTTCTACCTACCTACCTACCCCTAGGTTATTTGTGCCCATCTTCTCAGTGCATATGTAGATGGTAACATATGGATACATGCATACTTATGTTCATGGTAATTCCTCAAACTTAAAAGACTCACTGGGCTCTTGTCGGGGAAACTTTGATTCCTAACCGTGACCCGGTGAGAACTAAAGAGATTTACTGGACACCCATTATACAGGTTTTTATCTATTTTCTGGAGAGCACTGTTGCTCTGTGCTTACCATCTGCCTTATGCAGTATATTTTGGATTTCCCAATGCAGTCAATATTTCTCTTTTCTCTTTGTCCATTTATTAACTCCTCATGTTAACTTGCCGAAGTTAAGAAAACAGGTCTCTCACTTTTAAGGTCTTTTTTTCCTCTTACAATTCAGTGCTGTTATTAGCAGTTTCTCTGGGAAACACACACAACTGACTTGTTTGTTCTGTAAAATATCACTTTTTGCCCGGTAATTTCTGTGCCACTGGAAACTACAGCTGCATCTGTCTCTACTTTTCATTGTCAATAATTACACGGGGCTTTTAGAATGATACGGCAACATACTTTGCTAAGAAAGTAAAACTTGGAGAATGCCACTCCAGACTCTATTTTTGTGACAGCCCCACAGTGATGCCTATATCAGCCCTTTACTGATTTTTCTGTTGTCGCTTATTTGCTATCCATGGCTACGTATTTTTGAACACTTCAATTAATTTCTAAAGGAATTATTGTAGTCAAGATCAAAATTAATCAGAAGTTTTGGAAATTTCCTTTGCTGATTTTTGCAGAATCATT